AAACTGCCTCTCCGGTTAACCCTTATTACATTGTAACAGCTAAGGCGAAGCGCCCATCGACCTGAGTGATGTTGAGTTGGCCACTCCCACACGGTCACATGACTACCGAGCCACGCCTACCCAGCTGGTCTTTAGGGCAGAGAACCGGTTGTTAAATTATTTGAATCCCACCACTGGTCGAGGACTACCTGTAATTTCAAATTTAAGCTCATAAGGATGAGAAACTTGTGCTTTTTTTTTCTTCTTCAAATGAAAGGTTTGTGTGAGGAAATGTCTACAAGGAAACCGCCAAGCTCAGAGGACACCAAGCACCCCTCTCACTGATTGTATCCCTTCCACTCTTTCTCCCCCCATCAGGTGTTGCTAACCTGTTGTGATCACTTGGGCAGAGACTGGTCCCAGGCGCTGTTTTCCGAAGATACCATAAAGATTGAACTTGTACTTGTGAGAAGGGGATAGGTTGGAAACGATGACATCACGGAAGTCTCCCCTTAAAGGAAGCGCTTGGGGTCTTCCTTCAGCATCTTTGTACTGGACTGAGAAAGAATCAAAGCTTCCCTCTGGGACAGTCCAGGATAACTGGGCTGAATGACTGGTGACCTCTGAGACTGAGAGCATGCCCAAGCGGGGGCTTATTCCAGCGGAGACCTCCTGGTTCACCTCTCCAGGCATACCTGATGGCTTCTCATTGTCTGCTGGTGCTAGAGAGGAAAGGAATACGGTTGAGTGAGTGAGAGGCTGAGGTTCTATTAGCCTCAACTTTCTTTTCAGAGACAAAGTTCATATCAGGAGTTTCCCAGGTCTGGAGACAGGTTTGACCACATCACCCAGAATTCCCAACCAGCAAACATTTGGAAAAGAGGGTTGTACTGTGCATGTAACGATCAGAGGTGGGTTCCTACTGGTTCGCACCAGTTCGGTAGAACCGGTTTGTCAAATCTACCAAACCGGTTAGAAGAGGTTCCACCAGTGGACCCGGAAAGCAGGCCACACCTACAGAAGAGGTTCCAAACATTTTTGAAACCCCCCCCACACACACCCACACACACACACACACACACACACACACACACACACACAC